TACCCAATTTTGGCTAATTAAGTTTGGGAAGCCCTGGGTTAGTTTAAATTCAGTCTGGAGCTGTTTCAGGCTGTCATTCGGGGGGGGGGGAGTTTTGAAAAGTTGAATTTGGCTGGGTCTCCTGGACTCAGGTGCTGGGAAGTTCTCTAGAGAGCTACTGACTGACCACAAGGAGGGAGAAACACCTCTGATTTTGCCCTCTTTCTCTCCTCCTCCCTGCCCCCCCACCTTCAGATGAGTCACTGGGTGGTGTCCCGAACAGGCTGGTATGAACTAAGGGGACAGGAATGCAGAGCCAGGAGGCCGTAAGGGCAAGGAGAAGAAAAGGGAAAATGAGTCAGAGAGACGGAGAAGGAAATTCTGGGGAAGGAGGAGGCGGTGAAGAATTGAACAAAAGGAATCAGAGGCTGGAAAGAAAAGCGGGAGGGGGGGGATTAGTACAGGGAAGTGAGAAAGGAAATTAGTGGGAACAAAAAGTGAGAATTAATGAAAAGAAAGCAAAAGTTCGAAATAATAATAACAACAATCTTTTAAGACTGCTTAAGAAAAAAAAAGTTGGGAAAAAAAATACGGAATACCAGGACTACCAGAATACCAGAGCAACAAAGATGATTAGGGGACTGGAGGCTAAAACATATATAGAAAGTTGCTGGAATTGAGTATGTCTAGTTTAATGAAGAGAAGGACGAGGGGGGACAGGATAGCAGAGTTCCAATATCTCAGGGGCTGCCACAAAGAAAAGGGAGTCAAGCTATTTTCCAAAGCGCCTGAAGGCAGGATAAGAAGCAACGGGTGGAAACTAATCAAGGAGAGAAGCAACCTAAAACTAAGGAGAAACTTCCTGACAGTTAGAACAATTAACCAGTGGAACAACCTGCCTCCAGAAGCAGTGAATGCTCCAATACTAGAAGTCTTTAAGAAGAGTCTGGACAACCATTTGTCTGAAATGGTATAGGGTTTCCTGCCTGAGCAGGGGGTTGGACTAGATTACCTCCAAGGTCCCTTCCAATTCTGTTATTCTATTCTATTCTATTCTATTCTATTCGGACTACAGATTGAAGTTGAATCCTTATGACAAAAGAAATCCATTATTGTAGCAATTGTGAATGGAATCTTGGAGGGCTACTTAAAGAATTTCCTCAATATCTGGAAATATTGAATTAATCTGATCTGAACACCTCAATTTTACTAAAAAGCTACCCTGCTTGGAACTATATTCTTAGATGCTACCTTAATAATTTTTAGGTCTTTGGTTAGGACTTGAATTATTAAGTTTTCACCAGTTTTGAATATGATTCTAACTGAGGATTATCAACATACAGCAATAATAATACCACCAAACAACATCCACTTAGCCCAGGTCCTCAGGAAGGGCTCAATAGTTGGATAAAAATACCAAATCTGGTCTAAACGTCTGGCTATGTGACCAACTATAATAATAACAAATCATCTGTGCTAGTTCAAGTGGTTATCGGCTTGGTGACATACCAAAAAATCTTGGATAGTCATTAGAAAAATCTGTGCATTGCAAAATTTCCATCTATCAATTGCAACAGGCAACATCCTAGATTCTTGGGCTTGATTTGTATGAAGGTCAACACCAGCTAAAGAAATGACATTGCTGTGTGTATAATGACAACAATAGCATTTAGAACAATAGCACTGAGACTTATATACCACTCTACAGTGCTTTACAGCCCTCTCTAAGCAGTTTACAGAGTCAACATATTGCCCCCAACAATCAGGGTCCTCATTTTACTGATGTCAGAAGGATGGAAGGCTGAGTCAACTTTGAGCCAATCAGAATTGAACCACTGGCAGTCGGCAGAATTAGCTTGCAATACTACATTCTAACCACTGTACCGCCATTCACAATGGTTTGTTTAATCCCCCAGTTTTTAAAACTCCTGTGATATTTCCCCTCTACCTGTCTACTAAATAATTGAGTTTGTGTAAAAGGTAGACTTGAAGGATGGGGAAATAGTAAAAATAAATAGAATGAACTTAGCATTGAGAAGCTGAAAAGCTGTATAAAGATCTATCTGTACCAGCAAGCTCTATGCTGAAAAAACAATGTACCCTTTTCTGGATCCCTCAAAAGAAACAACTCAGTTATTGGGGTGGAGGTTTTTGAAAACTGAAAGGATGATGTTGTACCAGCAAAAGTGGAATTTGAGCACTGTGACAATTTAACATGACCTTCCTTTATGACTGCGTTGCAGTCTCTTTATTCAACATATTTTTAAAAGTACTCTTTCTCCACTGTGGGCATAAGATGACTGAACTGCACACAACATGACCCTCAAAAACATCACATCAACCAAAAAGCAAACAACAATAAAAGAACCCAAACCCACAACAATTAGCCAAAGAGAAACCCAGGTCAGCTGGTTATTCCTCAAATGCCAAAACATCAAAATAAACTTAATGTTGTGGATACCCACAATTCTTCAGGGCGAAGGTAATCTTAAAAGGAGATATTATCCTCAGAGATTACAGTGTCCATAGCCACCACCTGCTGAATCTCCAAATTATGCAGAACCGGTTGGAAACGTTTTACGGGGTCACATGAATTTAAAGGAGCCATAATTTGGGGTTTACCGATATAGGAACTCAGAGCCAAAGTTTACATTCCATTTTTCACAAGTCCCAAATAACGACCTTCCTGGTTCACTCGCTGAGCTTTTTAACTCCTCCATTAGCCCTCCAGGTAAGATTAAGAAAAAGAAAAACCGAATGGAGATGCGAGATACAGTGAAAATGAAGAGTACAGTCTATTTGGTAAGCCAATAATTTTGGTTAAAGAGTCTTTTGTAAAAGGACCAGAAGTGATTCCCATTTTGCTAGTCTGAGGGCAATTCGGAAATAAACCTCCATTTGGTTATCAATGACAGACACTCACAGATACAGAACTTTTATTATACACATTAGAAAACTTACAACACTACATTACTTTTTGACATAATAGCCATTCAAACTGAAGCACTTGTATAATGTCTTATAAGATTTGAAATTCCTTAGTAGTAGTCGCTCAGCGCCAAATCTGGCCTATGGGGGGGGGGGTGATCAAAAACAATCGAGCATTATTGTGAACCAACACACCGGAAGTGGTGCCGTAGAAAATCCGACCAAATGTGAAGATGCCAAAGGAGCACTGCTAGTGAAGTTCATGGAGCGTGGTTCGGCCATCAATTCAGAAGTCTACTGTGAAACATTACGAAAACTCAGACGAGCCATCCATAACAAGCATCGGGTCACACTGACTTCCGGTATGGTGTTGGTTCACGATAATGCTCACCCGCACACTGCTAGATGCACCCAAGAACTTTTGAAGCAGTTCCGTTGGGATGTTTTTGATCACACACACACAAACCCCCATGGCCTAGATTTGGCGCCGAGCGACTGCTATTAAAGAATTTTAAACCTTGTAAGACATTATGACAAGTGCCTCAATTTGAATGGCGACTATGTCGAAAAGTAATGTTGTAGTTTTCTAACGTGTATAATAAAAGTTTTGTATTTGCGAATGTCTGTCATTGATAACCAAACAGAGGTTTATTTCCGAATTGCCCTTGTATATTGAAATTAAAACTTCTTCAGTTTTGACAATCAATAACTCCTGGAATTTCCCCAACTATTGAGAGAGAAAAAATACTTCTAAGGTATTTCAGCTTCATTTGTGAAGAATCCTAGTGTTTCAAAGCATTTTTCTCTTTATTTCCAAGTCTTGGCTAGAGTCAGATCCACTTAGCTGCAGAGAGGGAGCACATCAGGATGCCTTTAGGCTATACTTTAGCTACAAAGGAAACAGGAAGACTTTTTTTTTCCATGCCTGCCTGCCAACTAGGCACTCCTCAATTTGCTTTCTCACAAAGAAAAACTTGGAAATTCACTTTTCCTCTAGCCCTTTGAAGGGCCCAGATTTTAACTGGTACCTCCTATTTAAGTGACAAGCAGGACTCAGACAGGGCTACAGAGCCAGATGGTGAAAACTCAGCCGTAGGACCTGTGGAAAAAGAGTTCCTGAGCATGCAGAGAGAGCTTTTTGTTTGTACTTCTGGATTTAGAAAAAAGATGGTCAGGCAGGCTGATGTTTCAGAATTCTTCTGACAATGAAACAAAACTCTTATTTATAACACTGGCTTATTTTTTGACTGACCCACCCAATTATATGAAAAACCAATCACACCCCCAAAGAGCAATGAATTGGGGAACAGCATTATTGCTTTAAACACTTTATTTGCGCTGGCCTACGACAGTGTTTTTCAGAATTGGCAACTTTTAAGATGTATGGACTTCAGTTCCCAGAATTCCTCCGCCAGCAGGGAATTCTGAGAGTTGAAGTCTACACATCTTCAAGTTGCCAAGTTTGTAAAACATTGGTCTAAATCAGGGGTAGTCAACCTTGGTTCTTTTATGACTCGTGGACTTCAACTCCCAGAATTCCTGAGCCAGCTGGCTCAGGAATTCTGTGAGTTGAAGTCCACAAGTCATAAAACAGCCAACGTTGACTACCCCTGGTCTAAATGAAGAGTAAGGGAGCTTAATCTGATTCTCAAATTGGGAGAGATGTCTCTGAAACAGCTGTCCAAGGGATATACACTGGAGAAAACTGAAAAGCTTCAGTCCCCAGAATTCCCTAGGCAGCATTGCTAAGAATTTTGGGACCTGAAGTCCAGACAACTGAAAGTAGCCAAAATTGATCAAGACACTGATTTATTCATTAGCATAGTATTTACCTGCTCTGATGTACAGCAGATTTTAAGCGTAGTGTTTCCTATCATCTGCTACCTTTTAACTGGAGATTTTACTTGGATTATTGAAACATATAATATATGCTTTACAACTTAGTTGGTGTAGGAGAAGAAACACAAGTGAAAATGCCTCTGCCTCCATCTAGAAATCTCATCATGCTGAACAACCTTACAGGACTCATAAAAAGAGACTCATCTCATTTATGTGAAATGCTTTAAAGATTAAAAAAAAATAGAATCTCACACTAAACCTTAAGATGGTTTATTCAGCTTCAGCTTTTTGTTATCATGCAAATCTGGCAAATTGTGGTTTATTTAATACATCAAACAAACTATGATTTAGAATGGTGGTCAATATCAAACTCATCAACATTCACATTCACTTCCTGGGGACAATTTGCAACATTTTCATACCAAACTTAAAGCATTTTTATTTTTAGTTCACAAATGCTGTGTCAGGAAATAAAAGTTTTTTTTTCTCTTTTTTTTCTGAATGCAGTTTAAAAAAAAACCCAATCACACCATAAAATTAAAATTCTCTTATGAGAGCAGAAGACATAAATAGAATCTCAACAGGGAGCACCAAAGGGAAGAGAAAGAGAAAGAGCAGATACCGAGGAAAATCAGAGGAAACAAACTGATAAAACTGAGGCAACCTGTGATTTTTCATGGCATTATGGGAACTGTAGTCCAGAACATCTGGAGCTACACCTACATTGTCTTTCTGATATAGTGGCCAGCCACTGATTGGAAGAAATGGTGCAGGAAGTTCTGTTGAGGCTAGTCCGTATTCCTCTCTCATGGAGAGTTTTAGCACCCAATATCTCTCTATATACAGATAATCTAAAAATCACATTCATCTTTTTCCTTAAAAGGGAGGGAAAGGACAAAGGAGGAAGCCCACAATGCAGATCTAGGAACTGCAGAGTTCCCCAAACTGTAACCCCTGTAGAAAAATAAATCACCCCAATATGAGGCATTAAGCCTGGGGTACGTATGTGCCAGAAGTAAGAGTTTTTTTCCCCTCCTCTCACAGCACAAGGCATTTAACAAGGAAGATGGTCACCCTTTCCCCAGAGGGGCCTGTTTCCTGAAATGGGAACAAGAGACAGTAGGTTTCACAGCTCGTTGCTGAGTGTGCAAAATGTAAGGCCCCAGAATGCCAGGGCAGGTGAACAATGTCTCTCCTGCAGCTTCAAGAAAAGTCGAGGTAATCAAAAGTGACATTTTCTTTGCTGTTTCCTGAATCTGAAGTGGTGAAAAAAACCCAGATCTGTGGGGGAAAAAACAACAACCATAAGATAAATTTGCACTCAGTATGATTCTTTCTTCTCCCCCCCCCCAATTCCCATCATTCTATGGCAGTGTTTCTTCACCTTGGCTACTTTTAAGATGTGTGGACTTCAACTCCCAGAATTCCTCAGCCAGCCTGTTGAAGTCCACATATCTTAAAGTGGTCAAGGAGGGCAGCTGGTTGGGAATGATAGCTGGGATATGCCGAAATATATCAGAGATATTATTTTGGGAAAGGAAAGCACTGAAAACACTGGTGAAACTAGAGGTTGGGACTTTTCTTGGACCAGATTGACCCACCTCCCAGGGTTGTCGTGAAGTTTAAAAAAGGGCCATACTGTCATTTATCTATTATTTATTTGTTGGATTTCTTATTCCCACCTTTATAACGATCCCTTTATATCAGCCAATCTGATGAAGAGCGGAATGTTTTAAAAACAAAAATATCCCAAGTATTGAGGGTTCCTTGGTGCTCTCTGAGCTAACTTGTTTTCTTGCAGACATTCCATTACCCAAACTAGGTAACATCATCAGTACAAGTTGTATGTACTGCTCATTCCAAGTATGAAGTTTGAGGTTTTCATAGAGGGTATGAGATCAGCAAAACAATCCTAGGCAGTTTTACTCAGAAATTACACTTAATCGGGCGTTAGTCCCAGTTAAATATGTGAACTAGGAAAATTTTCTGAGATTATTCAAACATGAAAGTGCTTAGGAATGAACAGGGAAGTATGCCCAATGGGAAAAAAAAGACTTCTGTTATCACAGTATGACTTCATTGTACTTCACACAAATATACTGAGTTTCTGTAAATGTTTCACTAGCTAGAAAAAAAAGTTTTCTGCTCAAGGTTATTGGGGAGGTTTCTGAAAAAGAGGGAAAGCTAAGAATGTTTGATTTTGAGAACTAGAAACTTGGTTTCTCTTTCCACTTCTTCAAGTGTCACTTTATTTCTTTATTCATTTACGTATTTAATTTGCCACTCATCTCGCCACAGGTAACTCTGGGCAGCTTACAATATTAAAAGCAATAAAACCAATAGATATTTCTAATAAAAATAATAAAAGTGTTCCACCCACAAGCAGAAAGGAAGGAAGGCCAAGAAAAGGAAGTGAGATTAGGAGTATCCTGATCTCACCTTCAGTGTATCAGTGATTCTTGAGCTGAATGGCCTCCAGTTTCTTCAATTGGGGCTGGAAAGAGTAAAAATAAAGTTAAAAGTTTATCAATGTGATAGAGAGGTGGATACTCTACTGCAGAGATGTTCGCTGTTCAGTAATCTTTGAATTGCGATGACAATTGGGACTAGAATTTCTGTTGCTAAGTGTGGCAATTGGTAAGTGCATCATGCCCAATTTTATGACCTTTTTTGACACAATTGTTAAGCAAACCACTCCAATTGTTAACTGAATCACATGGCTGTTAAGTGAATCCATCTTCCCCCACTATCTTTGCAGAGCCTTAGTGGCGAAGTGGTTAGAATGCAGTATTGCAGGGTAATTCTGCCAGCTGCCAGGAGTTCGATCCTCACCGGCTCAAGGTTGATTCAGCCTTCCATCCTTCCAAGGTCAATAAAATGAGGATCCATATTGTTGGGGGCAACATCCTGAGTCTGTAAACCGCTTAGAGAGGGCTGTAAAGCACTATGAAGCTGTATATAAGTCTTAAGTGCTATTGCTATTGTTGGGAGCCAGCTGGGAAGGTTGCAAAGGGCAATCATATGACCCTGGCATGCTGGTAAATACATGCCAGTTGCCAAGCACCCAAACTTTGATCATGTAACTGTGGGGATGCTGCGACGGTCGTAAGTGTGAAGACCCACCATAAGTCATTTGCCATTGCAACTTCAAATGGTCACTAAATTAATGGTTGTAAGTCGAGGACTAGCTGTGGCAACAATTTCAACTAGAATGAAATATCACCAAAAGGAAGAAGAACTTACTGGTGAATTTTTCTCGCCTTCGGCAGCGGGCATAAATGATTGTGCCCGCAATGATGCTAGCCAGAAAAACAGCACCAAGCGATGCCCCAACGAGCACCCACAAATTGAGGGTGTTGGTGGGCTGGGGGTCTCCACCTGCAAGAGTGAGGAGAGAAGAACACCTTAAATTCTCCTGAAAAAATAGCCTTTAGTTGATCCCAAAGGATCTTTGGCTGATGCAGCCAATTTCTTAATCTGAAACAGACATTTACTGTTTAAAAATCCTTTCCCTTCCTGCCTACCTAGGCGCCTCAAGGCAGATTTGCCACAAGCAGTGGAATAAAACTGTATACAAAGACTTTACTTTTTCCAGTTTTAAAAGTTGGAATAGAGATGGGGGGAAAAAAACACAATTATCTTTTTCATTGCCAGCAGCACAACGGCAAAATCCTGCTCATAAAAAGGCTGGCCAAAAACTGAGCCTCTGCTTCTTTCTGAACTCTAATTAACTCCAGCCCTCCCCCCCCCAAATGAGCTTGGAGATGACGCAGAGCAGCGGCTAGAGTAGATTTGAACGGCGGCATCAGTGGCTGCTCTCAGGATTGGTGGAAGATGCCAACGCTTGCTTCCATTTATATATTTATTTATTAAATTTATATGTTACTGTCCCATTATCAAGCTACCATTTGCTCCCAAAAGAAAGGGGGGGGGGAGAATTAAAAACAAAGACTATAGTCAGCAGAACTACAGCTAATAGAAGTGGGCTGAGTATCCTCAAAAGCCAAGATGGCAGCCATAATCATGTGACAGAAGCCCTTGCCCCCTTTCATGGGTGCTGTGGAGTTGTGATTGTGCAACCCAGGTACAAATGGGGAAAAGTTTTAATCAGTGGTTGAGGCTGAATTTTTCACTTTTTTGACCATCCCTGAATAAACCTTGGCCCTCGCTTGCCCAAAGTTGGGAAAAGAAAGAGGGCTGCCTTCTCCGGTGGTGGATGTGACAGGGAAGGGAATCATAGTAGCTCTATCCAGGTATATGGGATGGCGTTATGAGTGCCATTTGGCCTGCCTGACAGATGGGATCCTGTCTCCAGATTAGTTTAATTGATTGGCTTTTGAATATACAACGACAGGAAGCAGTATCTTAACTTTGAGCTCTGGGCCGGGCCTGCACTCAACCATTCCACCATCCAAACATTCAACCCCAAAGAACCATATGTTGTAGCATCAGGCTGAACATCCAACCACTCATCATCTCTCCCAGAGTGTTCCAGGAGCTATCCCAGCAATACCAAAGATGTATGGAGCCCTCCTCCACCACAGTACCAGGCATAGTTGGAAGCCACTTACAAGTAGAGCAAAAATCGTTCTTATTTTGACGTTGGCACACTGAGCAATCCATGCACTTTTCCAAGTCAGGACTCCAGGACTGGCCTCCAGGACAGCTAGTTTCTGAGGGGAAAAAAAATCAGAAAGGGAGTTGAGAGTTCACCCACCCTCCTTTTCACACAAACAACATCAGAAAGTTTCTGCCTCCCTAAAGCAAAGTGGAATTAACCAAAGTTGTGGTATTTCTGATTCTGCCCGCTTGCAGGTATGTTGGACTCTAGTTCCAATAGTCCCCGGCTTCCTAGGGTTATGGAAATTGAAATCCAGCATGTTTTCAGCCACAGCTGCTCTCCTAAAAATTCATGAACTTTTGGAAGAAAGGAAGAAAGAAAGAAAGAAAAAGAGAGAGAGAGAGAGAGAGAGAGAGAAAGAAAGAAAGAAAGAAAGAAAGAAAGAAAGAAAGAAAGAAAGAAAGAAAGAAAGAAAGAAAGAAAGAAAATGAGAAGCATTATCAGCTGGGTGAAAATAGGGAAGCAAAATAAGATTCAGAAATGGGGGGCCATTGCACTTAATCCATGTGATCCCAGCCCCCCCCCATGACACCAGGGCTATTTCCAGAGGCGTAACGTCACTGGGGTGAGTGGATATTGTGTTTCACCCCGAAACGTGAACCAGTCTTAGGAACAGGAGAACATGGGGGGAGGGGGGTCAACTCAGGGAGCATCACATGGCAAAATGGGAGGGGGGATTAAAAGAAGGAGAGGAACCTTCCTCCCTCCCCTCCTCCCTGCCATCACGTCCCTCACTTTTAAATGACTTCATTGATAAAATATGCCCCGAGTGAGCAAGGCAACCAGATGGCGTTGAGCCCAGAAGCGAGTCGGACAGATGACTCAGAGTGGGTCGCATGACGCCGACGTCAGATGGCTCAGCCTGCCCGCCGACCCCACTTGTCTCACTTGCAGGAATAAGACGCCCCGAGACTTTCATCCGGAGAGCCCGCCAATAGAAAAGAGACAAGGTCGAGCGGGGCGGGGCCTTGCATTCATAAACATTCCAATTCTGACAACTTCTGTGATTGATTTCGCGGGGAGGGGCGGGCTTCAACTCAGCGCAGGATTTTGCCAGCCGATAAGAAAGCGCCACTAAGCGTGTGCAGATTGCTTAGTCGGGGTGAACTGTTATTTTATTTATTTATTTATTTAATTTTATCCCGCTTTTCTTACTTTTATAAGTAACTCAAGGCGTCGAACGTGCGTAAAACCCTTTTCCACTTTTATTATTAATTATTTTATATTAGTATAAAGTTTATACTAATACAGAAAGAATAAATTAATAATAAAAGTGGGAAAGGGTTTTACGCACGTTCGCCGCCTTGAGTTACTTATAAAGTAATAAAAGCGGGATAGAAGAAAAATTATACTGTGTTCGTTTTCGTAAATCTCCTAGCCGCATCGTTACGTTAGCGGCTCCTTAAGATTCAACAGGTTCAGCCCTGAGAAGTAAAAGAGCCGTGATAGAGTTGCACCTGCTGAAAAACTGTGCAGGGAATCTGTGTTAGATTGAGAAGATGACCGCGCCGACTTTATACTGAATTTCTCTCCTCCTTGGAGGGTTTGCAGATCTAAGTCTTTTCCTTAACATCACGTGTGAACGCACCATGCTTTGCGCCGAACGCACCCCAGCATCTGTATCAACTAGGCTAGAAAGCTGGGTTAGTGGGAAACCGGCATACTTGACTAGTTAAAAATCGCTGCGAGGTCCTCTTTTCACGTTTTCTCCACAAAGGAAGCCACGGCCGTCCGCAAAGGTTTGGCCGGGATTCCTGACGGGCGGTCTTGTACTCAAATCACAAAAGGGATCCGGACAAACTACAAACTACATCCGTTCATTCATTCGTTCATTTATATTCCTATACTCATTCATTCACTCGCCAGCCCTCCCCCCCATCCTCTGTTTTACCTCCATTTGCCGGCTCTTCCTCATCCCTCCGAATCCCTTCCCAATGTTGCTTCAACCAGCGCTTTGGGACCTCGGCCATTCAACAGGTAGAGCTTCCGTACCAACCCTGAAAGCCGCACCTATTTGCTCCATCGACTCTCCGGTTGTTGAAAAGTTTGTCGAGGGAGGAGAAAGGGACCCCCCCACCACCACCACGTCCTAAATGCTCCCTGATCCCCAATTACCTGCGATGGGCTCTCCCCGGGCGGACCTCAGCAACACGGGCAAGAGCCCCAGGATGACACCCCAGGCAAGCATGGCAGGTGAGTCTCGCTGCTCCTTCGCCGCCACCGAGGACGTCCGATAGCAAACGACTGACCGCCAACCTCGCTCTGACTCAGTGCCGAAAACTCTCCCCGGCTCGGCCCGGCCCGGCTCCCGGCGAGAGACACCCCCGCAGTCGGGGATTGGCGGGCGCGCGGCCAGGCTCCGCGTTCCATCCTTTGATCTGCGGGGGAGGTGCGGGGGGGGAGAAGGGGGAGCGGCAGCGAGTCAGCGCAGGAAAGGAAACGGCCCGGCCGGAGAAGGAAAGACGGGGGAGGCGAGGACAGGGAGGGGGCACTCGAGCTTTGGCCCGGCCCGGCCCGGCCCGGCTTCTCGGAAGTCCCGCTGGGCTGGAAATCCTGTGGCCCCTGGAAAGGGACGCTTTCCGTCGTTAGGGCTTTTCCTTTCGTGTTTCCAGCGGGGTGTTTTGAAGCCAGCAACTGTAACAATAATAATCATAATCATAATTTACAAAAAAAAAAGCTGCAGGACTTGGAACAGCACGTAATTTAAGATGGTAACCTTAACTATTCAAGATGCGGGGGAGGGGGGGACGGAATCCCACAATCAGAAGTGCTGTACCAAACACAGTTCACCAGTCAGTTGCTCTTTATGTCAACAACAAAACAATAACATAACATGACATGAGATAACATATATATTATATATTAATTATATCTTATATATTATAGAATATATAATTAATAAATATAATATAATATAGCATAATATAATATAGCAAATTGTATCTGGGGGGTACTGACGAACCAGCTCTGAAGTTTTTCCTCAGGCACTTATTATTTAGGGCTCGCTATACCTTGTAATTTACAATATACTAGCCTCATTTATTTTTTTATGTCTTTATTGTTTCATTTCCCACCTTTATTCTGTATAACTCGGGATAGGGGCACAAGATGCTCGTTCTTCCCATTTTTCCCACAACAACACTGCGAGATGGACTGGGCTGGAAGGGGAATGATCCAAACTCATCCAGCCACCTTTCATCCCTAGAACTTATCATTTCCTAATTTCTAAGCCAGCATCTTAACCACTAGAGCCAGGGGTAGGCAACCTTGTCTCTTTTATGACTCATGGACCTCAACTCCCAGAATTCATGCTGAGGGGAAAGGGAGAGTTTCCAAGCTGAGCCATGCTGGCTCAGGAATTCTGGGAATTGAAGTCCACGAGTCATAAAAGAGCCAAGGTTGCCTATCTCTGCACTAGACTAGACCAACCTGATTGTCCTACTGGTAACGTTAGAAGCCATGGGCAGCTTGTCCCTCCAGGATCTTGTCCAGCTCCCTTTCAACACTGTCGCAATTGGCTGCCATCCTGGGTGGTGTGCAGAAGGTTTCATTTAGTTTCAGTGTGTGACCTTGAGCCCTCATGTGTGAGAGAAGGAGGAAGGGAGAAATCTCTCAGGCCAACTACGTGCATGATTTAAATATTTATCATGCAAGAAATATATTAAATTCCTGTGAACTTCGAAAGCATGTCATAATTTCTGAATCCATTTTAGTGGGGGGTAAAGCCTCTTTGTGGATCTTTGGTCTAGGTAACTGCACGGTGTTGCCCTTTCATACTCTTTTTTATTTTTATTTTTTAGCCCTTTCATACTCTTGTGCTTATTGTTCCCATCAGCCACAGCCAGTGCTTGCAGAAAGATGGAAATTGTAATCCAGCCCATTAAGAGGCTGTGGATGTTTCTATACATGTTGTAGGAGGTGTAATTGCCAGCCTTGGCTGATCTCTTTTTTTTACTGGATGGGATATCAACAGGAAAGCCTAAGAAGAAGACTGCTCAAATCATACCATAAGAAGGCAGTTGTGAATTGCTTCTATGAAATTAGTCCTTGATCTACAACTTTTTATTTAGTGACTGTTCAAAGTTATAAGGGCACTGAAAAAAGTGACTTATGGCCATTTTTCACACTTAGGAAAACTTTGCAGCATCCCCATTGTCACATGATCAAACTTCAGACGCCTGGCAATTGGCTCATACTTATGACGGTTGCAGTGTCCCGAGATCATGTGATCATCTTTTGCGAACTTCTGAGAAGCAAAGTCAATAGGGAAGCTAGATTCACTTTATAGCCATGTAACTAATTTAACTGCAATGATTCACTTAACAATTGCATCAAGAAAGGTCATAAAATGGGACAAAACTCACTTAACAAATGTTTCACTTAGCAAGAGAAATTCTGGGCTCCATTGTGGTCATAAGTCAAGGACTATTTATACAATATTGCTCCAAGAAAATCATGTGGACCTGTCCTTGTGATCAACATGGATTGAACTCAAGAAAGAACTCATTTTTAAATTCTTTGAGAGGGAGAGAGAATGTAGTTGCTGGCATATAGAGAATGGATAGATATTTAAAAAATGCTTTTTCAACATACAGATTGTACAGAGAGATACTTTCATTTTGGGTCAATCCAAGTACTGAGGTTTTGGAGCAGATCCACCTGAGCGGGGGCAGAAATAGGACATTTTGGAAATTAAAACCAAAGAAGCTTGGAGACATAATAATTGGATATTTCTGGAACTGTCTAGACAGCAAGAAAGCAGTGCAACCGTCATGCAACAGATTGGAAAAGAGTTTTTAAAGGGAAAAAGAGGAGAGGAGAAACAGGCTTCCTAACTTGGCTGAGGACAGGCCAAATTGAAATGTTATAAATTTTAAATAAAAGGTAAAGCTGCTTTAGCAGAAGACATGATACAATTTTGAAAGTAATTTCTGTTTTAGACATCAAATATTCTGGGGATGGATCAGCCTCCCAGAAACACCCTTTATCTCTTCTGACTTATTTGGTATTCCTCCTGCCATCTTTGTCCATAATTATAGCAAAGTCAGGATTCCTTGTGGCTGGCCTAAAAGCATGATGGACAGTAGATCAGTGTTTTTCAAACTTGACTACTTTATGTTGTGTGGACTTCATGTCCCAGAATTCCTCAGGCAGTATGCTGGGATTTGAAGCTCATACTTCTTAAAATTGCCAAGTTCAAAAATTGAATTGAATACTTTATTTGGCCAAGTGTGATTAGACACACAAGGAATTTGTTTTCAGTACAGAAGACCTCACTGTATATGCAGAGCAATAGATGGAATAATCTAGTCTGAACATCTGGCTGACTGGACAAGCCATAATAATAGTAATACCACCAATAAAAGGGGGAAGTAAAGAAGGTAATAAAACAGGATAAATAATACTGCTACACTGCTGTATTGTAAATACATAAAATTGTACATAAATAAAATCACTGCTGCATTGAAGATACTCAGAGACATTCTCCCTCTCGTTATTTCAAACTCTAGGAACAGCAAAAGTGTTGCATTTGAGGGTTTGAGCTGGAAAAATAGTATCCTGAAGAAGGGGGAGAAGAAGCAGAAACTGGGACAAATCCACCTGGCAAACAATTTTCCAAACATTTAATTTCTTTGCAAAATGTTTTATCTACCCTCCAATCTCAATTAATCCTTCGTTTTGGATGGTTAAAGATGATCCCTTTTCTTTGCCAACTGCCAGGAGTAAAGACATGGCCCACATTACACTGAGTGAAGAGTCAGCCCCAAGTGAACTGAATATGAGGTTATAGATCTTCCAGATGTTGTCCTGGCTGAAAGTGTAGTAGATTCTAGCTCCCATAATTACAGGTAGTTCTCGATTTACAACCACTTACTTAGTGATTGTGTGAAGTTACAATGGCACTGAAAAAAGTGACTTACGACTATTTTTCACATTTAAAACCATTGCAGCATCCCCACGGTCATGTGATCAAAATTGAGACTCTTGGCAACTGATTCATATTGATGATGGTCGCAGTGTCCCAGGGTCATATGATCACCATTTGCAATCTTTCTGACAAGCGAAGTCGATGGGAAAGCCAGATTCACTTAGCAAATGTATCACTGCAAGAAAGGTTGTAAAATGGGGCACAAAACTCACTTAACAACTGTCTTGCTTAGCAACAGAAATGTTGGGCTCAATTGTGGTTGTAAATCGAGGACTACCTGTGTCAGCCAGGTAGTCTGTGAGGGTCCATCCATCCAGGGAGCCAACTGACCTGTCATTTTAGTTCTGTGCTGATCAACTTATGTTAAATGGACTCCCTTCATTCACTCTGAGTGGTCTCCCCTCCTTCGCTCCCAGAGGGCTAACTTCCCTCCCTCCTCCTCCAAGGGCTATCCTCTTTTATTCTTGGTGGATTCCCCTTCTTTGCCCCCAATGTCCAGTAAAGTCACATGCAATTTCACACATCTAACTGTTAGTGCATATAATTCTTTGCCTTTCCGTCATTGGCTTCATACCACAATGTAGGAATGCCCAGGGTTTCAATAGGCAGGAACTCGTTTCAGGGAGTTGTGCAACCTTAGAAATTCCCTGGTGACAGAGAGGCAAGGCTGGTTGCCAAACTGTTGCAGCCATCTGGCAAGGCCCGGCCCTCCCGTTAGTTACCCTCCACTGTATGTGGAGGCATGTGACTCAGCAGAGGGTAAGATTTGAAGTCGGCTCTTCCAAAGCCCAGGAGCAATTAAAAATAACTGGTTAAAATGCACACTGTGCTCTCAGAAGTGCTTTTGTCTTTAAGTAACTATTAAATTCCACCAGCTATGAGGCTGTCAGGCTGAAGATGGATGGATAGAGATGAGCCACCTGGCGATTCCCAGATGTGGTTTAGACTCTAATTCCCATCAGCCCTGCCATCAGGCCAATTCTGAGCCCCATTATTCCCATGGAGGATAGCCGAGTTAGCCAGGTATATTATGTGTGTGGAGACTGGATAAGGTAGCTAGAAAGGGCTAGGTTGTGGAATGCCTCACTCTTCATACAGCACTCCTTAACTGAGGCTTTTGACACCTCAGCCAGTGCGGTTTCAGATGGCTTTTACCACCCGTGCATCAGCCCTACTGCCTGACGACTTCCAAACCTTCCGGTCTGGATAACGGGGAACTAGCCTTCTCTACCGCTGGTCTCCACAATCAGGGCAGGCCACTAGCTCATTCTTTATCAGCGATCTCATTTCCTGCCCTCACCCGCCCCTTCGGGGTAAAGGGATCTTAAAATGGGGTTGGGGAGGCGGCAGTTCTCCCCGCTTCTTC